TTGAAACCACTGCTGCTTGTTCTGTCATTTGCCACCATTGGTAATAGCCTGGCTCCATCCTCTTGGGAACCCTCCTTCAGGTAGTTGAAAGCTGCTATCAATTCCCCCTCCCCCCCAATTCTCTCTTATGAAGACCAAATAAGCCCAGTTCCTTTAGACTCTCCTCGTAAGTCATGTATCACTGGACCGGGGGGGGGGGGAAAAAAATCTGGAAACTTCTGTTTAAAAAAAAAAAGAAGAAAAAAAAAAAGAGCCTCGTCTACCTCATCCTTCTCGTCTGGTGGTCTATAGCAGAGGCCCACCACAACATCACTTTTGTTGCTCTCACCTCTAATCTTAACCCAAATACTCTCAACAAGCATTACTCTGAGCAATCACAGTGCTCTATTATATATAGGGCAACTCCTCCACTTTTTCTCCCCCACCTATCCTTCCTGAATACTGCTCTAGTCATGCGAGTTACCCCACCGTGTGTCTGTTATTCCAATTGCATCAGAGTTTCTTGACTGAGCTAAGACTTCCACATTTTTTTGTCTCGGCTTGTGCTGGGTATCCCCTGCTGCACTTTAGCCTTTTAAATGTATTAAAAGCCGGCAGGCTCTTCCTGGCTGTCCTGACTCATGCAGGGTCCCCCCATTCTGCTTCTGCCTTTTAAACAAATTAAGAGCCAGCGAATTCTGCCAACTCTTAATACATTTAAAAGGCAGAGCCACAGCAGGATTAGCTCCCAGGACCAGAAGTTAACCCTGCTGCAGCTCCCCAGATTATGGCTAACTGATGGAAAATCCATTGACTAGTCAATTAGTTGATAAATTTAACGTCACTATTCTGGGGATTGGCACGTGCCTCCAAGCGACCTGCAATGAGAGGGTAGTAACTGTGATCATGGCCCAGCAATCTTGGGCAAGCTACAGAGGACATGGGCAGTAAATATGGAGATCTGCAGTACAAAGGTGGAGAGCACTGGCTCAATTCTGGGGATCTATGGTGTTTGACTGCCCCTGGAGGGTGGGGTGATCTTGATGGCTGTCTTGCCTTCGAAGGGAAACTCTGCTGCTTCCAGTGGCCCATGCAGGGCTAACAGAGCTGGGAGACCATGGTAAGACATCAGTCCCACTGCAGGTCAGGGTCCCCTATCGCTCCTGGGAATTCATGGTAGATTCCTTGGGATGCTAGGGGCCCCAAGTAGGGAGCACACATGTGTCTGTTTTGTGGGAGAGCAGCCCAAACTGGGTGCTTTCTCTGATACCCTATGTTTTCTCTTGCCCGGTGTTGAGGAACTATGCTTTTTGGTCGTCTTCTTGGGCACTGGTGCCAGAAAGTGGTAAGGAGTGGAGCCTAGTGCTGGGGTGTGTGCTATGCACCAAGGCAGAGGTACATAGGGAAGAGTCCGGCAGGGAAGGCTTGGAAGCACAGTGGAAAGCAGCCTCCATGAGGGCCTTCAGATGGATGCCGCACTCTCAGTGCCCTGGGTCAAGTGTTTGAATTGTGACACTTGTCCTTCACATTTACTCCCTCAGGCACTTGTGGCAGCTGCCATGGTGCCACTAACAGGCACAGACCCTGTTGCAATCAGAACAGGGTTAAACCTTGAGACCAGGGCATGAGGCCCTAACTTCTAACTACATTTAACAACTACTTAACACTAACCACTATAAGCATTTACAAGGCTGTTAAGCAGGGGTAGGAAACTTCAGGCCCAGGGGCTGGATGCAGCCTCTGGCTTGCCTGAATTGGGCCCCCAAGGCTCAGGGATCCACCCCCCGTCACATTAAGGTGCCGACGCTGGCACACCAGTCCCCCTGCCACCCACCCACAGGCCTGCAGCACACAAAATCTACTAGCCTGGGCCTCCCTATGCTCTGGTGTAAGAAGGGAATGTGAGGAGTGTCTTTTTCCTTCTCGAATAGTGATAGAAATGTAGCCGTGTTAGTCTGGGGTAGTTGAAGCAAAATGCAGGACAATGTAGCACTTTAAAGACTAACAAGATGGTTTATTAGATGATGAGCTTTCGTGGGCCAGACCCACTTCCTCAGATCAAATAGTGGAAGAAAGTAGTCACAACCATATATACCAAAGGATACAATTAAAAAAATGAACAAATATGAAAAGGACAAATCACATTGCAGAACAGAAGGGAGATGCGGGGGGGTGGGAAGGGGGAGGAAGGAAGGTAAGTGTCTGTGAATTGCTGATATTAAAGGTAGGGAGAGTGGGATGTTTGTGAGTTAATGGTATTACAGGTGATAATTGGGGAAACTGTCTTGGTAATGGGTGAGAAAGTTCAAAGTCTTGTTAAGTCCTTGTTGGCAAGTGTCGAATTTTAACATGAATGACAGTTCAGAGGATTCCCTTTCAAGTGCAGATGTAAAAGGTCTTTGTAGCAGAATGCAGGTGGCTAAGTCATTTAGAGAGTGTCCTTTCTGGTTAAAGTGGCAAGAAACTGTTTTCTCTTTGTGATCTTGTCTGATATCTGTTTTGTGGGCATTAATCCTTTGGCGAAGTGTCTGAGATGTTTGTCCAATGTACATAGCAGACGGACACTTTCGGCACATGATAGCATAGATTATATTTCTGGATGCGCAGGAATATGTGTTCTTGATCTTATAACTCACTTGGTTAGATCCAATAATGGTATCAGCAGAATGAATATGTGGACAAAGCTGGCAACGGGGTTTGTTGCAAGGGAAGGTACCAGGGTTGGTATTAGTGTGGTATGTCCTGTGGGGGTTGGTAAGAATCATCTTGAGGTTAGGTGGTTGTCTATAGGAGACTATGGGTCTGTCTCCCAGAGCCTTCTCTCTTTTTCCTTCTCAGTCAGGGACTTCTCACTTTGCTTCTCACTTGTGTGCAGCCCCTGATTGATTTTTTCTGTGGGTCAGCGGCCCCTGATCAAAACAAGGTTCCCCACCCCTGCTGTTAAGGCTCAAAGGCAGTAGAGTTGAAACTGTTAGCCTCTGAAAGGTAAGGGAAAGGCTTTGTGACTAAATACGGGCAAGAAGGAGGAACTAAGAAGGTGTAGGGCTGGTGGCATCTAATGTACTAACACATGAGCACAGCATTCAAGAGGGCATCACAGTAAACCCTACGGATACTGCTAAGGCAAAATCTCTGTCGGCCATGCACATTGGCGAGCATACATCTAGAATGGAATCAAAATGAGCAAGCCCTCAAAGAAAATATATATGTGAGCACCTTATATTTTATTTCATTCCCCTCCCCTCTTAGCAGGGAGTTAATATAAAAGAAGAAGGGACTATTTGGGAGGAGAAGGGGAACTAAAGAATCTTCTTATTAATTATTATGATTTATTGCTAGCTGTTGACAGTATGCTAGGCTCTCACATTCAAAGGAAGGACATTGTACATGACTGAAGTCACTTGCTATCTAGAAAAAATTAGTCACAAAAAAGTTCACTGAAAATGTTGAGATGTAAAGGTTGACGGCAGATACAATGAGATCTCCCACCTCTCACTCATACAAACTTCTCTGCCTAAACAAGGTCTGAACCACAAAACCAAGAATTTTAATACATTTGTATTTCATTTTAAAAGAATGACCTTAACTCTATTACTACAGGCACTTTGTATCATTAAATTTTCTTTTAAATCTCCATTTTTCAATTTATGCTTTTTAATTTATATATATGTACAGTAGTATATTACTCACAATAAGAATAGATTGAACGATGCCACTTTCTTTTAAAAATGTCCATTTTTGTTATTAGCTAATTTCAGTTTTGAGTTCTCATATAATACTAAAGTACAGGTGTCAAATATTTAGTTGCCTGAGCATAGGACTATTAGCAAGCAACACTGGAATTTCAATCTTAATGCCATCACTATATCCTTCTAACCTTGTACAAGTCAGTTAACTGTTGTGCCTCAGTTTCTCTTTCTGCAAAATCAGAATATTTACTTTTCTGTCTTATTAGGATTCTGTGAGGTTTAATATTTGCTAATCGCTCTGAAGCTATGAAAGTTCTATGGAAACCTTATGTATTCTTAAATGTTTAGATTACAGTAGCAATTAAAAGTTAAATCACGATCTCATTTTATTAGGCAATTATTTTATTGTATTTGAATTCATAGCACTGATAGCACATATTTAATAAAATATTCAAGGAAATTTTTAAAAATTATGAAAACATTTTGAGACATTACCAGAGGCTATTCAAAACATATTAATTAATTAGGTACACATTGATCCTGAAACTGGCTAACAGTATCCTTTTTAATAAAACACCGCCTTATCTACCACATGCAGTAGTATATATGTTATGTGATCTTCCCCTCAGATTATATATTACATAATATTATTAATTGCCAATAATGACATTTACTATTTAATTACCAAACCAGATTACTCAAATTAATTACCCTCAGAGGGGTAGCCGTGTTAAGTCTGTAACTTTAAAAAATGAGAAGTCCTGTGGTGCCTTAGAGACTAACCAAAATGTAAAGGATCATGAGCTTTCTTTCATGGGTAAAACCCACTTCAGATGAATACATATGATACATTCATCTAATGAAGTGGGTTTTACTCATGAAAGCTCATGATTCTCTATATTTTTGTTAGTCTCTAATGTGCCACAGGATTACTCATGGTTATTTCAAGTTAATTAATGATCAGGGTATCTTTTGTAATAGATCAGTCCAGTATAAATAAATATCCTCATTTCACAAACAGGAAATTGCTACTCTTCTGGAGTTGGCAGCAGTTCCTCCTACTTTGTTTTCAGAGGTGTAAATTGCAATGAAGGTACTTTGAAGTGAAAAATCAGATAGTTTAATATTCTGAATCTCTCCACTTTGCAGTCAGACACACACGAAAAGTGATTGAATGCATTTTCTCTAGCAAGAATGAAAAATGCTGTTATTAGCTGTTATTCCACACAAAGGATGTGGAATCCCATTGTCATCTTGATCGATTAATCAAATGCTAAGCATGGAGGATGCTCTGCTCAGCATCATGATTTCCCTTGCCCAAGGCTGACATACCTGAAGTTCTGATGCCCTCTTCATCATTTCAAGGGTGATGTAGCAACCAATTGAATGGCCAATCAGCACAAGCTTCATATCTTTTGGCACATTCTTTCTAAGGAAGTCCAACTTGTGCTCAATTTGCCCGTGAAGTCCAAAGACATCCTCTAGTTCTTTAATATCCGTGTCTGAAAGATAAAACCAATACACATTATTTTATTTAAGGACATTTCCGCTAAACACATCTCTCTCCACTTCTCTAGGAAATGCTCTAAAATGAAAATAAGTTGTAATTTTGAGAGAGCACCCACTGTTAAACTGAGACCTCCATTAACAGCTGCACAGGATGTGAAATGGTGTGTCCAACTGAGGAAAGGGAATGGCTTAGTGGCACCTGGAGCTGAGAACACAACACCCCAGCCCGATGCACTCTCCCATTGCTTTTCATTCAATTCAAGATCACATTCAAGGCTTCGATCCTGATCCTCAAATTACTTTATTGACTGACTCAGGTATCTCAGAGACTACTTCAGTTTGTGTGACCGTGTCCTATGACAAAAGCACTGTACTACATGAACAATGGAATCAGCAAAAATGTTAGGGCCTTCACAGCATAATATAAAATCCACATCTTCAGTCCAGCCCTCCTAATAACCCCACCAGAATCTCACTTTTAAAAATACAGAAGTGCAGACCCATACACACATAGGGATGTACGTAGACTGTTTTGAGTCCACTTTATTACATTTGTAAATAAGTTTAACCAATTACTGCTAATTCTCTGCTCTGCCAAAGACTTTGTATGATCTGGGCAAGTGTCTCAGGTCCCCAGCTGTAAAAATGTGATAGTAGCATCTCCCTATCACAAAGGGGTTTTGTGAGGATTGATATAAATAAAGACAGAGAGGCACTTAGATATATTTAATCACCAAAAACAGAGGAAGAAAATCTTAGGAACAACTTCCTATTTACAATAATACATAAAGAATAAATGACATTTATGCCCAACTTTAAAGGCCCTTTTCACAATATACAGTAATAGGGATTTAGCATAAATGACAATATAGTCCACAATATTAATGATGCCATCAAAGTTTTAAATTCACATACAGTAAATTTCTTAAAAAGCGACGAGGAGTCCTGTGGCACCTTATAGACTAACTGAAGTGTAGGAGCATAAGCTTTCGTGGGCAAAGACCCACTTCGTCAGATGCATGTGAATTTCTTGCCAGTCACAGTAAGCTGTTTTAAATACTACAACATATTTTTACATTCATGAACTGTGGCTACTTTTGCATACAGTAGCCATTTTCCTAGATGGAACGAACTGGTACTGTTTTAGACTACCCTTTTGTTTGCCTGTACAAAGTGACATTTTGATGTAAAATGATAACGGTTAAAATAATGTATTCTAATATCTCCCCTTCACCACCCCAAAAAAACCTCAAGCAAATTATCACAGAAAGGGCTTTATTCAACCAAACTAATTAATACTCATACTCATAGTAAACTGTTCCTGGTCACATCCTGGTATGATTTATATTAGGTTGCTTTCAATAAAAAAAGAAAAAAGGGTTCTATTAAAACATGTGAGGGACAGATAATTAGATGAGAAGCAATGTTTTGCCTATGAGGCTTTCTGCAGGTAATGGAAAATGAAAAAGCTTATTCTGTTTTCCAAAACATCAAATAAGGACCTAAGGTCAAAACATTGTTTTTAATCTTAATTTCTGTTTTTAGCAAAAAATGTCTTAACTACTTGTTATTTATTTATTCGGCAGCCTCACTTCATGCAGGAGAGGTTTGGCCACCTCATTCACCTCATTAAAAGTACACATAGGAGAGAGCAGATTCAGAATAGCAGCATAGTACTACAGGTAGGGCATGGCACTGTAGTAGAACTCAGTAGACCGGAGTTCTATTGCAGGCTCTTCCATTACCCTACTGTGGCACCCTAGGCAGATGAGTTTTCCTCTATGAGCCCGTTTCTGACGCTACCCTTTATTTGTCTTGTGTTGCTAGCTCTTAGGATTTTACTATGAGTCTCGTAATATCCAGTGTTTTACTTAAACATTACTAGTACCCAGAAAGAAATGATTTTATAGCAATCTCAGCTTTTATTTGAAAAAAATAAAATTAAAATAAATCTGTAACTCTCATGATTATACTGAAAAACTCAAAAATATGCACCTTAGAGCTAAAAAAAACCCTGATGGTAAAGAGAAATTTATTATTATTTATGTATGAATTTTATCTCATGATTTTCTTTGGGGCTCAAATCATGATTTCTGAGCATCTATGGTTGAGATACTGGCCTTCAACATTATAAACTTCAGGTTGGGGACAGTTGCTTATGCTTACTATTTGTATGTGTATTACATGTCACAATGCACATACAAAAACCATGTGTAATACAAACAAAATCAATAACTATGGTCAAACATACTGTCAATATTTTCAAACTAGACTTCCCGAAGTTAGGTACATAAACCCATATTTGGTCACCCAAATAAATTACTTGAACCTCTATGATGCTAGGGTACTCACATCTCTCTTTACTTTCAGTTGGAGCTGTGGCTGCTCAGAACTATGTGAAAGGACGGCCACTTATTTAGATGCCTAATTTTAAGGCAGTCTTTTTACTTGCACATAGGTACATACTCTCAGGGGTCAGGAAGGCAAGCATGTTTTCTTTTCAAATGCTGATATATTGTGAAGCCAAATTATTGTAAAGCTAAATTACATAAGTATGATAAATACCGCATGGGAAGATAAGTATGAACTGGAATTTCCTAGGATCCATATGTTAACTTTCAACAAACTACATATTATGCCTTGATCCTGCCCTCCTTACTCAGGAAAAACACCTATTAATTTCAACAGAAAATCAAACTAAGGACGGCAGGACGGTGACCTAGAGAATAAACCCGTTTGAAACTATGATGTTTTCTTCCCTTGTTTAACAGCAGTGAATATTCCAGTAACTTTCATCTCTAATCATAATAGTACAAGAGAGAAATATGAAACTACTTTCATCATGGAAAATAACTATGGCCCTGATCCCACAAGCAGATGTGCGCCAGTGTGGAATCCTGCAGATTTCAATAACTGTTTTCACAGATGAGTAAGAGTGGCCACAAATCAATGGTTAATAGCATTTGAACAAATAAGAGATTTACTGGATTGGGCCCATAAAACCCCTACTGGCAGATGCTGAAAACACTCACAGCTTTGCCAATCATGAATAATCTACACAGGCCAAACTCCAAGACTTCTATACCACCCCACATCATCATGTATCCCTCTACATATTTACTTATTTGTTTTGGCCAAATATAAAATTGTCCTTGACTCCTGTTATCTCAAAATGTCTCTCCAGTGCAAACATTACCTTTATAATGGAATGAAATCTATCCATCGTGTCATTGGTTTACATGATTTATTTATTTATTTATATGGAATAAAATTGTCCAGTGAATATCCAAAATCAACATGAATTTCTTGGGTGGAGATGTTTAAATGGGATCTTTATATAAGCAAACAGATTTGCACAAACACACTGGCAGTTCCTTCTCTAATGGCTCTACATCAGAGAAGAGAGCAAAGGGCGAGCTACTTCACCTCAGGTGTGGAATAAATTGCACGGCTGAAATAGAGCTCATTTCAGCTGAGTTTTTAGATAGCAGAACTTACATGAGTTGTACCTTGTGCTGAATATACCCTATCTGTGCCAAGCCATGTAGTCTTAAGACTTTATTTAGCTAAAATGTATTAAAAGAAATACTGTATTTCTGTATTTTCTTTGGCAGAATGTTAATCTACTGATGTGCTTTTGGAAAAATAAGCTTGTGATTGCTTTAAAGGTTCTTTTTTTTCCTGACCTCTACTAAACCCAGAGTCAGAAAACAATGATAGATTAAATTCAAGAGTTTGCTCAGAGATTGTCTGGTTAACCTTATTAAGAAGAATGGGACTGTGGCTTTGAGAGATATAGACTTTTTGGAGGAGGAAAAGGGGCAGTTTTGGTTTGGGAGTGAAATTAGATGAGTAGACTATCAATACAACCATATGAGCAATTCCCATGAGACTGGCACAGAGATCATACATAAGAACATATGATTATGAAGTCTAAAAGATCTTGCATCTCTTGTAAGGTAGTTGCGCATAAAAGATACTTGTGGGGGAGATTTTCAGGGATGAAGTTGTCCACGCCTAATTTCTTCATGTAAAGCACTGAAGTGCATATGCAAATAAGGGACTTTTATGCATACATGGCCAATTAGGAAACAGGATTTTGTACACAAGTAAAGTACATATGAATCTCTCTGCACAGGTGCCAGGGACAAAGTCTGAAATCTAGCCCAGCACATTTACACATAGTTGACAACTTCATACAGTAATTCCATAATCCCCAAATTTGAGTCATAGTTTGCGACAACAAAATACAGACTTTCCTTTGGAATAAAGGGAAGATAGTTTGGTGAAATGACAGAGGCAGTCACTTGTGAGAAAATTTATCTTTTCATTTTTTTAAAACAGAAGAATAAAGAATGCCAGAAATCTACAAAATGAGATATTGTCGATTACTTTATATTTATAGTTAGCTACCCATTCAATTATGAGTCTATGTATATGGCCTTTTGCATTTAGGACTTCTTATTTTTCCATAGATGACAATATTCTCTTGTTTCCTTCCCTACTATCAAGCAGGCTTTGGTTTTATTTTTTATTTGACTTTTATTTAATAAATGTCTATGTGAGAATGGAGGGTACTAATGTGGACAAATAGGTTGAGTTAACATTTGGCTCTGAATATGCTGAAGTATTTCTTCCAGCAATGACTCCCTCTATCTCCGATGGTCATGAGCCTACCCTGTAGATCAATGGTAGCAACGATCCAGAAGAACATAGCTGAAGAGGGATATCAAGAATTTAGAAATAAGTCCTCCTATAGCATAAGTAGAGACTCATCTATTTGCAAATATAATAAAATAAGAGAGAGTTGCATTACAACATGTAGGAAAAGCCCATGAGTTTCAGAGAGGAAAAGTTTCTCATAGGAGTTCTCTGTGAATGTTTCCAGGGCTGGCCTTTAGGAAACAGGGGCTCCCAATTTGCCCAGGGCACTATCTCCTCTAGCCATGGCATCCCCCATTTTCCCTGGCACCCATGGGCTCCCCAATCCCTG